TGATATTTAAATGAGAATATATTTGTTGGTTGGAGGTCATGGATTCAATCTTTGAGAACATAGTTTTCATCTGATCCTATCGATTTCGGCTGATTTACTTGTTCCACATGATTTGTAAATTATTGCATAGATTCAATAGATTTACTCCACACATAAATGATCATAAAAAAAAATTATTTGTATGTGTACCTGTACATGTAGACAACGAATTTTCAGTTCCATTTGGATTTAGTCGGATTAAAACGTATGACAAAAATTTTTGAGAGTTTTAATAAAAGTTATATATTTATTTAACTGTTGAAAAATAATATATATATATATATATATTTAGTAATTTTAAAATTTATATTTTTTTATCGCAAAATATATTTCTATGGAGTTTTATTTTTTTTCTTCAACTTAATTTAAGCACGAAAATAGTTATCAATTGAAAAAAGATGAAGAGATCAGTCAAGGAAAATACGCGATGGTCATAGCTCAAAAACAACGTGTCTGAAATATTAACAAGATCCCAAATAACGCCCTCGTTCAGATTATAGGTAGAAGTGGGGCCCGCTTGGGTTTTTGAAGCATGTTTTTCCCTTCCAAATCGGAAGTGCCGATGCCTTCCACCAACCCCACCGGTCACAGTATTTATCATTTCATTTTTTTTTTGCCCTCGTGTCATTTTTATTTAGAAAAAGACAAGTCAACTTTTTGGTCTTAAAAAGGAAAATCCAATTTTTTGTTATAAAATATTGCTTTGGTAAGGGAATTTATATTGAAACTTAAGTTTACCTCCGGTTTGCAATAATATAAAATGCTGAAATGTAAATTAATTGTAATTTATTACAGTATTAAGTTTTTTGTATCAGAATCTTTATTTTCTGATAACATGTGTTGGCTTGATGATAGCCAAAAACAGTGTTATTTTTTTTTCTCCAAAAATTACTATTGGTATTGGTTGAAAATATGAGCCCATGCAAATTTTTTCCTTCTAAAGTGTACAATAGCGAGTATTAAATTAAAATTTTGGAATAAAAAATAATTGAAGAAAGACAGATATAAACTTTTAAATAAGTTTTTTAAAAATTAGAAATGAATCAATATATAAAGTTTTATGCAAGTAAAATTTTCAATAAATAATAAAAACAAAAAAAAAACTCTAAAAGTATCTCTACATAAAAACATTTTTCGTAATATCATCTAAAGATACAAAACTTTATGTTATTATAATTGTTATTATTTATAAAGTTTGAAATGTATTTATTCTATTGCCGTACTTATATTCAAAACCATAAAATATAATTTGTTTTTATTTTTTATTTTGGATAAAATTATACATACTTTTAAAAAATTTAAATAGGAAAAATGTATTTAGTAATTGATCATGGAATTGTTGAGACTGCAGTGAATCTTAGATTTAGTAATAAATAGTATCTATATATTCACTGCGGACCATAAATAGTTTGCTCAATAAAAACTTTATTTTCTTTTTATTTTTTAATTGCTTTTTAAATATTTGGCTTTGCAGTTTTGCTCTTTGACAGTTGCATCAGCGCACCAACCTACGGAGTCTCCATCTCCCTCCCGAAGTCGGAAACCTCTCTCTCTCCCCCCCAACGTTCTGATTCAGATTTCCAGAGAGATTCCTCGGCGGCGGTGTTAGGGCACGAACAACGGGGGAAGGATGCAAAGCACGGCGGCGTTCTCTCTCTGTCCGTCGTTCCCTCTCCTCAAATCACGGAGGCTCTCGCATCACCATTCGCCGAATAACCCTAGGTTCGATATCTCTTCCTCTTCCCGGCACCACGATCTGAGCGTTTCTCCCAATGTTGTCTCTGTGCCGTCTGTGCCTCGCCGATCATGGCGTTTCTGCTCACCTGATTTACCACGCCGGTCGTGGTCCTGCGTCCCGCTGTTTTCTCCCTCTCCCGAGTCGAGGCGGTTCGAGACAAAGGCCGCGGCCGTTCCGGAGAGCGCTGGAGAAGGAGAGCAGAGTGGTGGGTTGGTGAAGACGCTCGAGCTCGCGTTGTTGTTCGCTCTCTGGATCCTTTTCAATATCTACTTCAACATCTACAACAAGCAGGTTCGTGATTCTTCATTTTTTTCGTTTATCTAAAATTTCTGTTGGTGTTGTAAGTTTTTGCATGTATTGAAGCTGAAATGTAGAGTCGACGTCTAATGCTTCGCTCTCTGTGGGTGTTCGGTTAATGTTCGACAATCCTGTGATCGAAATGTTTGACACAATAGGATTTCGCTAGGGTTGAACTACCATTCTTGTGATGGGAAGACACAAGATGGGTTTTGCTTTTATCTTGTTGATGAGAATAATACAAAAAGTTAGGATGAACAAGTTCAGATATGATCAGATCTTACAATTGGAGGAAATTGGAAAGAACCTTAAAACGGGTTCTTATTTCTGAATTTGTTCTTTTTAGTTGTTTGCTTCTCGAGAGAACCATTAGCGTTTAGCAGTTTCTGCTGTGATCTTCTTGCAGGTTCTGAAGGCTTTCCAAGTTCCCATGACTGTCAGTCTGGCTCAATTCGCAGTCGGCAGTGTGCTCGTTATGTTCATGTGGACCTTCAACTTGTACCAGAGGCCTAAGCTATCTGGTGCCCAGGTGTTGTATTTTCTTGTGAAAACCAAAATGTTTACTGTCCTGGAAATGATGCTCATGCTCTGACATTTTCCTTGATAGTTGGCGGTGATCCTTCCACTTGCAGTTGTGCACACTCTTGGTAATCTTTTTACTAACATGAGTCTCGGGAAAGTTGCTGTCTCATTCACTCACACCATCAAAGCCATGGAGCCATTTTTCTCGGTTCTGTTGTCCGCTATGTTTCTAGGGGAGGTGAGGAGATGCATCGGTTTGTGTTTTTGCTTCCATGGATGCATCGATTTTCATGCCTGTCATTCATTTCCGCCCTGTAAACTAGTTTTTTAGAATTTGATGACTCACCCTATTCGTTGTCATCATTCATATTAGTTGATGGACCATGTTCGCATATGTTTGATTTTCTAATTCCTTCTCCTTAGTCGCCTACTCCTTGGATAGTTGGTTCCCTTGTACCAATTGTTGGTGGAGTTGCTCTTGCATCAGTGACAGAGGCCTCTTTCAACTGGTAGGGTTGTCTGCAGCTTGTTTCATAGATATACTTGCAGATCCATTGGTTTGAATAATTAACCTGTATTTGTGATTTGTGATAGGGCTGGCTTTTGGAGTGCAATGGCGTCAAACTTGACTAACCAATCCCGTAATGTCCTGAGCAAGAAAGTCATGGTTAAGAAAGAGGTAAATTTCCTGTTCATGTGTCTACATCTTTTTTTTTAGTTATGGTATTTCATAGATAACGAAGAAATTTGCCTCTTTTCAGCACTTAAAATTTATTTCGGATTTTGGCAGGAATCTTTGGACAACATCAACTTGTTCTCTATCATAACAATAATGTCTTTCTTCCTGATGGCACCTGTGACTTTCTTCACAGAAGGGATCAAGTTTACTCCTGCAGCTATCCAGTCAGCCGTAAGTTTGGTGAAACCCTCGCAGATTTCATTGGACACTAAAATGCTTATAGTGATCTGGTTTGTTGTATGCTTGACATGCTATTTGAATAACAGGGCCTGAATCTTAAGCACATCTATATGAAGTCTCTTCTTGCTGCACTCTGTTTTCATGCATACCAACAGGTGCGGCTTCTCGATTGTTTACATACTCTTTTATCCAAGCCCTTTTGGGCATTTCAGAAATATATTTTTTGTTCAAGTTTAACCAGTAACGGGGGTAAACTTCATATCTCTAACGATGCAACATATCGAAAATTTGTCTCAAGAACTCATTATTATATAGGTCCATCTGGAAGATTGAAATTTGATTAATCTTCTATTATGTGATATGCAAATACAGGTGTCCTACATGATACTGCAGAGAGTATCACCAGTGTCACATTCTGTGGGTAACTGTGTCAAACGTGTGGTGGTTATCGTGAGCTCGGTTATCTTCTTCCGAACACCCGTCTCACCTGTTAATGCTCTCGGTAAAACCCGCGCCCTTATCTTGGATCTTGAATATTCCTCCTTAACATTTTCTGTAGGAGCTGAACAATTTTGTCACAGGGACCGGGATAGCACTTGCCGGAGTCTTTTTGTACTCGAGGGTGAAGCGTTTGAAGCCAAAGCCTAAGGCCGCTTAGTAGTAGTTACTGCTCTTACGAGGTATTCTTGCGCACAAATTCTACAGAGATGGTTGCAGATTATCCATCCCAATAGTTAGTTCAGTATTTGTTGGGTTCGATTCGGGAAAAGGTTAATTCAGTTTCATGAAAATTGTATCAAACTCGAATCGAATGTTAATTGGTTCGGTTCGGAACAGTTTTGTTATATGAATATCAAATAAGAACCGAAATTTGATACTCACACATATTTGTATATAAAGTTGTATAATTCGAATTTTGGTTTGGTTCTTATCGGATTTATTTCGGTATTTATCGAATTCGCTTGAGAAACAATTTACTTGGTTGTACAGTAATATTGTAAATAATCTTATATCACAGTATTCGTTTTTGTCCCAAAGATAACCGGATGTTTTGAATCAAAGTCTAGATGGATTTCAGGGTCTGAGAACCAGCCACGTGGGAAAAGGGTTGTATACTTGTATGCCTATTTGAAAACAAGCTTAAATCTCCTTTCCTTTGGTCGTAAAATGGTGTCCATTTGTTTGGCTAAAGCTGGATTTATGCATTGCTTGTGAAAAGTATGTGGAGTCAATTTTGATGCATCTAGAAGGAAAGTGTATTTTATGGAATCTTCCAAACAAATATCCAAAAGAACCAATTATCACATCTAACAGAATTTTATAGAAAAATGTACTTATACCTTTGATACCATATAAGAGTGATGACGGTAAGAGACACGCTTATTAGCAAAATATAATAAAATATTATAGATATAATATTTATGATAAATCACATTCATATTAATGATAATATCTTTTTATAGAAAAATCCCATCAAGATGCACCAACCCTATAAAATATATCCCCAAAAAAATATGAACTTTTGTATCAATTGTTGAATGTGTCAAAAAATGTTTCAACTCTTGAAATTGAAAGTAATTTTTTTATATATTAAGATATCGTTACAATTCAAACATGAAATTGATTGAATAAAGTCTATTAATGATTGTTAAAATTTTTGTATGAAACACTTTCAAACAATTTGAATAGAAACATCGATGATATAATTAAGGAATATGTATGAAATTGTTTCGAATTGAAAAGTTAATATATGTATTTCAACATCTAATATATCTATTTATCAAAACAAAACTTGATAATTTTTTTTACACATTTTCTAGATTTTTGTGCAATTATATTTGGATTTAGGTTTTTTCGATTTTGAAAAAAACTATATTTATTAGTTTTTTTTGTATTTTGAATGGATTTGATTTTCATAGAGCAAACTACTCGATTTTTAAAAAAAAATTCAGTTGTAATTATCTATAGGGGTGTCAAAATGACTGAGCCAGATCAGTCCGGCCCGAGCCTAACACAAGTCCGAAAAATTACGTGTCGGGCTGATCCAAAATATATGCGGGTTTAAAAACTTGGGCCCGAGGCCCGATCCAATGGACATTTTTCGGATTCGGACAGGGCATCGGGCTTAAATTTTGAAAAAAAATAATTTTAAAAATAAACTATTAATAAAAAAAATAATCAACATAAAAAAATATTAATATATGCTAAAGATAATAAAAACAAAATTTTGATAAAAACATTTATTAATATATATGTTAATTTAAGAGGAATTAAAACTCAAATTTTTTTAATTTTTATATAATAATAAATTTTATTTAAACATTAGTAAATTAATATGTATATATTTATGCATGTATATATATATATATATATTTATCTATATCTATATCTATATATATTTATATTACATAATATGTAATTTATTTATGTTTTCGGGCCGATGGGTCGGGCCGGGCTAGCCCACGTTTTGGCCCCATATTTTTCTGGTTGAGTCGGCCCGGTCCAATGTACGATCGAGCTTCAATTTCTTAGATCCAAACTCGTAAATTTTACGGGCGCGTTCAGACCGGGTAATGGGTCTTGAGCTTTTTTGATACCTTAGTTATCTAGTATTTGATTCAATTTCATTTAATGTGATTTGTGAAAAAATTAAATCAAAATAGTTTTTGATCGAGTATGATAATGTATCTGTTCGGTTTGGTTCGCTTTTATACATCCGGTTTGAAATGATTTATACAAATTATCAAATAGAAAAACATCAATTTTAAATACAATAAAAAGATTTACAAAAAATTAATCACAATACAGGATTAACCATAACGAACAAACAAGAGAAACACATTAATCAACATCTCCACACTCCCATGGCAGAAGTGAAATTAGAATGTGTCACTTTAAACTCTTAAACGAAGAAATCTATAAAATTCATAAATGAGGTTATATAGAAATAGAAGTGTAATTAATTAACTAAATAAAAGATAATTATTTTTGCCGATGAAATGATTTGTTTTAAGAAAATAGATGTGAAACATTAAATATGTTAAGTCTTTTCCACCGACACATTAGATTATGGAATTTATCCAGACAGCTAACGTTGTAAAGCTGCTAACTTTGATGTGGACCATCTCACCAAAAAGGATTCTTATTTTTATTTTCTAAATTGAATCTTTTTATAAAGAAATGAATAAAGTTTCCTGATAAATGATTCATATTTAGATTTAATTTAATTTTAATTTTTTATATATTAAACAGTAGACTTAAAAAACACAAACTTTAAACAATCTTTCATATAAATATACCAATTTTGAAACTTATATCAAAATACATGATATTTTCCCAAATATTACTATAAACCTTCATCCGTTATAAAACTGTTAAATAGTTAATGTATTTAATGATATGTTAACGTCGTGTGTCCAACAAGAAAAGAAAATGTCAAATCATCGATGCCACTTCAAAAACTTCTTAAAAAAACAACATAAAAATATATATATATATACACACATTTATATATATAAATATACATATACACATATATAAAAATTGTATCTTAGAATTAACTTCAAAATGACCTAACAAAATTATCTCTTATAATTTACGTTTATTGCCACAACAATATAGAAGTTCATCACTTAATATAAAAATGGAATATATACATGATAGAATTTCGAGATTAAAGCAAATACCATTAATTTCAATACGCCGACAATTAACTTTATTTTCTTTTCTACTATACGCCAAGGCGATATCATTTTTTAATTTTATGTAATGTTTAGAACACTTTATAATTTAGAATTTCAATTCGTATGTAATTTTTATTTGGTTTTAGTTTATCTATTCTTTATATTCCTTGTTTTCATAGGAACTAGAAATTTATATTCAAAATTTGTTGCAAAAAATTAGTTATTTTATCAGCTATAGCTTCTTTTGTTGTGATATGAAATCCGAGTTATTTGAATTTGTTACCTTGGTACATTGATTGGAAACAAATTTTATTCGTGCAAATGCATATGCATTAACAGAAGTGATATTGAGATTTTGTTAGGGTAGCATTTCACTTCAGACGGGTAAGAGAACGCAATTCTATTTATTTTTTTTTGTAAAATAAATCTTAAATTTTAAATTTTTTTATAATATCATAAAAAAGATTAAAACTACAATTTTTATCAACAAATATTTCAGGCCATTCTACATATTCATGTATATTAATTACACAATGAAATTATTAGTTTTTTTAATTAAACAAGTTTAAATTTAGAATGAAAAAAGATGAAGAGAGACTGACGTTGAATGCGAGGTATAGAGAGAAACGAGTAAATCGTAATTTTTATTTTTCCAAAAATCCATGGTTTATGTTGTTTTTATAATGAAGAAATGAATGGAATAATATATATATATATATAATATGTTTAGCAAGAGCATTAGGTCACAATATATGGAGAAAACGAAATTCGAAAATTTTTTATGGTACAAGAAGGACATTAGAAGAGATGCGCATGCACATCGACAACATGATTCGTGATATCTTCCTCTCGGCTCAAAAGGGGAAGTATGATACTGGTAACATTATATTACAGGATTGATATTACATGTTTGAGAGTTGATTACTAGGAGTTATTATCTGAATATTGCTGCGTAGTTAGTTTTTAACTAATCGTTGGGTAAAGAATATACAGTCTGAGTACTACTGTTGGTCTTGGATGCAGCCATGCTGATTTTGTAAACAATATTTTTTGGTTAATATAAGAAATCACATTTATATAAAAAAAGAAATGTTAAGGTTACAAATGCAATTAAATTGTATGAAAAATAAATATTTCATATTCATTTCTCTTTTATTATTAGAGAAATTAAAAAAAAAGTATTAATCCATCCGATTGTGGGTCTATTACCAAAAGGTGAAATTAGCATTTACTCAGATGACTTAATTAATCGAGTGAGAAGGTAAGTTCCCTTCACGAAATGGACCGTTTGCCAACGCGTCACGTCAAAGTCAAACCCTAATTCTTTCTCTTCACGTTCTTAAGGGCATTTGTGGTATTTCACTTACCAGAAGACATTGCCCCATCACCATATCAGTCGAAAATTCTGCTGTCTCCAACTAATAAATAAATAAATTATTAAATAATTTATATTATTATTATTATTGTTTAATTAGAAACGTAATTATCTGCTTATGGAATACTTTGTCATTGATTGTCATTTAACCGTTTATTTGGAACCACGTTTTAGTGGTGTTAGCGGCATAAAAATGAACAAATTCTAGCGGTGAAAGACTCTTTCGGTTTTAAATATTTCAACGAATATTTATTTCTCTATAAATATTGGTTATAAATGTCTTCAAAAATTGACCTATATATATATATATATATTTATTTATTGTTGTTATTTAGGTGAAGGTTTATGTTTGACCCGCAATCGGATTTGTACTTGAATAAAACATTTTATATTTGTATTATAATAAATAAGAAAACGTTTAATGAAATTGCTTGGGGGATGGAAACATTAAATACAAAAAAAAAGAAAAAAAGAAAACGAATTACCTTTTTTTAACGTAGGGAAATGCCCAAATTTATCCCAATTAACAATTTTCGCAGAGGATTAATTAACCACTCAGTTTTTAGATTTTGTTCTTAAAAGGTTTTCGTTGTCGGAAAAAGGAAAAGACAGCAAAGCCGAAGAACAGTTGCAAGGCTCCGAGTGATCTGTTCCTTTTCTTTTTCCTTTCTTCTCCCCGAGAGGGGCAAGTTGCTCTCTCTCCTTGGACATTCCACTAACAAAAGCTTCGTCGTCGACCCGTCTCTGGAATTTCCGTTTTTTTTTTAAAATCTGGTTTCGAAGGATTTGATTCGAGGCAGAAGCCCCTCAAGTGGTGAGAATTTTGTTTTGTCTGCTTGTGTGTTTGTGTGCTGTAGCTATTTATTGGGTTTA